GATAGATGGGCATTCAGGTATACAGATCCCAGACCAGAGTTCCCTCTAAGCTGAGTCAGTGTGAACTGGCTCACAGTTTTTTAGCCTCCAGCTCACTGATTTTTGTCTTAGCTCAGGAAGGATGGCTCCAGACCAAACTAATTTATGCAGTGGCCATATCGTTTGCTTACAACTTTAATGCCAGTAGCTTACAAAGTAGAATTTTTGCTCACAAGACTCCACAACTTAAGAGGGAGCATTGCCCCAGACTGAAGGGTTTTGAAGAACTAGAATCTTGAACTTGGAAACATATATGCCATCCATCCTGCTCTTAAAACCGGTATAACATGTATGTAGTGGCTTGGTCCTGATGCTAATCAAACTGCCTCATTTTGTACTAGCTGATGTTCTCAGATTGTCTTCAAATACAGCCCCTCATAGCCTACTGGAGCAAGGATCAGTGTGGCTAGGTTGACAGGTAAGAAGCTAATCTCAGAGCTAGATGAAGCTGAAAAAGTGCAATTTTAACCAGCACATACCCTTTTTAAATATATATATATATATGTATCTTCAGAATAGCTGTACTAATTCTGTGTGTACCATTAAACATAACAGGACTTTTGAAGCCAAGAAAGAAACAGTTTCCCTCCAGGGATATATTCTTGTAGACAGATAACAAGTGTGTCTGGGGCAAGTGATGCTCTGTATTCTTGGTGCTGGGGGGGCAACAGTGGGAGGGCTTCTAGTGTCCTGGCCCCACTGCTGGACCTCCTGATGGCACCTGGTATTTTTGGCCACTGTGTGACCCAGAGTGTTGGACTGGATGGGCCATTGGCCTGATCCAGCATTGGCTTTTCTTATGTTCTTATGTGTACTGAGCAATCATGGATAAAGCCAGAAGGGAAGCCAGAAGCAATTATGGATAAAGCCAGAAGGGATGCAGCCACCCATTTCTGTAACTGGCCAACTGACACGTTCCATTTCTCCATGTGAATGTAGATCCCAAAAAGGCCAAAAAGGGTTACTGATTTGGAGAGGGGAAAACCCTTTATTTTGGGATCATAGTTATATACCAAACAACACATTGTTGTTGCATATACACATCCATCCACATGTTGTCTCTTTGGCATATTAAAGCAAACATATTCAACCAACAGTAAAAACAAAAGCATCTAATTCAACTAGAGTGGTAGCAGTGAATGACCTGAACAGCTGCTTCAGGATTTCAAACATCCTTCAAATCCTAACCTTTGTATTTATCTTCCCTTAAAAAGCCCTTTGAATGCCCCTAAGCCATTTAGAAGAGAACATAGCAATTGTTGATGGGTGTACTAATATTTTCAGGGGGTTATGTCATACGTTTAGCATTTGGCATTTATTCATGCTACCATTCTAGGCAATCCTTGCCAAATAAACAGTGCCAGTACTGGCCTAAGCACTGCAGTAAAAATGTGTAGAATGCAATGGCCTATCAAGGTTGGAACAATTTCAAGTATTAGGAAAGGTGACCATGCATATATGTTTATGTGGGTGTTTTCAAGACAGCAAAGCAGAAACCTGTACCCTAGGCAAAAATCATACAAGAATCTACTGTGCCCTCTAGTGTTAGAAAAATGCCATGTTGTTTTTGAATACTAATTTGCATTATAAACATAAACTATAGTTGAACTACTTCTGGAATCAAACCCAAGAAAACCATGAGCCAAATATTCCTAAATGACTTCGCTCATCCACAAAAGAAAATCTATCTCTCTCTCTCCCTTACTCCCTCCCCCTGGATCAATTCATATAACTAGGAGAACACAATATCAACACAATATATCAAAAAGAGAGTTTTGAAATGTTAGCACAACTTCTGCTACTAGACTTCTTCATCCTTCCAATATCTTATGGAGGAAAAGTTACTTTAGTATTACTTTAGATTCAAAACAAGAGGTTGATTTATTTTTTTAAAAGGTTTCATTATTATTCTAAGATTAATGGTCTGAATGCAGGTATCTATCATAAGTGAAAGATCACATATCTGAATACTGTACTGAACAATGTCTGACTGCAGTCTGCCACATTCTTGGCACTAATATAAAATTTCTCATAACCAAATTAATTTAAAGTCAACACGGTTGGTTTTAAGCCTCATGCACCTGGCAAACATGATCCGAACAAGTCACTTATCCTATAGTGATGCAAACATGGATGCAATTACTATCCAGAAACTATGGACCTGTTTCCATTACCTAGAAGCAGCAAACATGACAATTGCTCAGACTCTGATGCGCTACTGAAATACCAAAGCAGCACTGCAATCTTAGTTTTGCAAATCCCTTTCAGGATCAGAGAAAATTGTCAATAATTGTGTAAGCCCCAATTGGTAGACCATATATACCACAGACACACACCCAGCTCATCAAGCTGCTAGGGACAACAGATTTCCTGAGACCTGAGAGGAAGCTATTAAATACAGGGCTGGATATAGACTAAACTGGTAGAGCTCCCTCGTATTGTTCCTCAGGGTCTTCTCCCCCACGCATTTCATAGAAATCAGCAAGATTGGCGGGAGGAGAAAAGTTCTGTTCAGCTGATGGAAAATTTAGTCTGGATTCAACCCATGAAATGCTTACTATACATTAAAGTTTTATCACTGATGAATAAACTAGAGATCCTTGGAAGACTGACTGTTATTTAGGATGTCTGTGAGAAAGTGTGTTGAGTACCCAAGAATACAAAGCGAAACATGTGACTGATGCCTTAGATTACTTTAATTAGGTATTGTGCAAAAGACCATGGGACACCAACTTGAACGACCATTGGTACTTACCCGTGAAGGGTCCTTCTCCTCTGAGGCTTGGAGGACATCTTGTGGGTGATTCCCATCCTTCTTCAGGGAGGCAGGACTAAGTTGAAAAAACTTCTTCCTGTTTCCTCTAGTGGGAGTCACCCAGGCTCAGTTCGGTGCTCCGAAAGCAGTAAACTAACTAATAAAAATACTTGGTGCTCAAACGATTAATGAGAAAAAACAGGAAGAATGTTATGTAAAATTCAGGAGATAAACTTCAAACAGGGAGTAATTGAATTCCCAGAATAACCTAAGGTGGTCGCGTTATGACGACCCGGGAGGGCCAAGATGTCCTTCAAGCCTCAGAGGAGAAGGACCCTTCACGGGTAAGTACCAATGGTCGTTCTCCCCTGAGGCGGAGGACATCTTGTGGGTTCTCCCAGAGCAGTTCTATTGATTTTGGGGTGGGGGGTCGTCATCTGTTGAAAGAACAGACTGCAAAACGCGACGACCAAAGGCCGCATCAGCCGAATCATAAATGTTGATTTTATAGTGCCGGATGAATGTGGAGAAGAGAGGACCATGTGGCCGCCTTGCATATCTCTTCCACTGAGGCCCTATTGCAAAAGGCTGCGTTAGTGGATGCGCTACGAAGGGAATGTGCAGTGATGCTCTAAGATTAATGGTCTGAATGCAGGTATCTATCATAAGTGAAAGATCACATATCTGAATACTGTACTGAACAATGTCTGACTGCAGTCTGCCACATTCTTGGCACTAATATAAAATTTCTCATAACCAAATTAATTTAAAGTCAACACGGTTGGTTTTAAGCCTCATGCACCTGGCAAACATGATCCGAACAAGTCACTTATCCTATAGTGATGCAAACATGGATGCAATTACTATCCAGAAACTATGGACCTGTTTCCATTACCTAGAAGCAGCAAACATGACAATTGCTCAGACTCTGATGCGCTACTGAAATACCAAAGCAGCACTGCAATCTTAGTTTTGCAAATCCCTTTCAGGATCAGAGAAAATTGTCAATAATTGTGTAAGCCCCAATTGGTAGACCATATATACCACAGACACACACCCAGCTCATCAAGCTGCTAGGGACAACAGATTTCCTGAGACCTGAGAGGAAGCTATTAAATACAGGGCTGGATATAGACTAAACTGGTAGAGCTCCCTCGTATTGTTCCTCAGGGTCTTCTCCCCCACGCATTTCATAGAGATCAGCAAGATTGGCGGGAGGAGAAAAGTTCTGTTCAGCTGATGGAAAATTTAGTCTGGATTCAACCCATGAAATGCTTACTATACATTAAAGTTTTATCACTGATGAATAAACTAGAGATCCTTGGAAGACTGACTGTTATTTAGGATGTCTGTGAGAAAGTGTGTTGAGTACCCAAGAATACAAAGCGAAACATGTGACTGATGCCTTAGATTACTTTAATTAGGTATTGTGCAAAAGACCATGGGACACCAACTTGAACAGGTGAGTCCAAATACTAATATTACAAGAGAAGGGAAAAATTATTTTTATTATCTCTCTATATTCTATTTGTAATTTTATTAACCTCTATCAGTGCTGCCCCCTGTGATATCTTTTCTAAAACCTAAAGACCACAAAAATTTAAGCCTTCCCTCATGGGAAACACTTGTTATTTGCCTTTTCTATACTATTTCTGGTTCTAAAATATCACTTTTAATGTAGGTAAACTCAGTTATAGACAACCTAGTTAGTATGCAGTTAGTATGCAGAGGTTCCCTGAAGCAGTTAGTATGCAGAAGTTCCCAGGATCAATTCCTAGCATCTCCAGTCAAAGGGACTCAGGCAGGAGGCAGGTCAAGACATCCAGCTGAGACTATGGAGAACTACTTCCTGTCAGAAAAGCATCCTGACAGACCCCTTCATGTGTTAACAACTACATCTATATGGCAGCAGAACAAAATTTATATAGTAGCATTATGATACTTGCCATGTTTTTCAAGCCCTTTCCTAATAATTCCTACAATCCTAAATATCAACTACTGTTTTCTTTTATGAAGAATCCATAGAATATATACATAAAAAATAAAGCTCATTAGATCATTTGCATATTTAAATGTAAAATGCTAGGACTCCCATCCTTCACAGTCTTGAGAGTATCTTTTTGGAAACAGTTTCTTATGGCCAAGACCATTTGGTTACTTTACAAGTTAACTCTGAAATTAGTGAAGGTAAAAGAGGATTACTGACCGATCAATCACAATCTCTTTTTGCCTCAACAGGCCTTCTTTGATTTTCATCAGTGATTCCCAATTGCTGAATTCCTGGATGCCTGCAGCTGGGTAACCTTGATGAGATGATCCACTCAGAACCTGTATAGAAATGCACATTAGAAAATTACTGCCAAAAATAGCAAAAATTATTTCTTTCTTTATTCATTCATTCAATTTATACCCCGCCCTCCCCGCGAGCAGGCTCAGGGCGGCTTACATTAGCTGGTACATAGGTACCAATAAAATTCACATAAAATCAGTTGAAACAGAAATTAAGAAATATCCCACCCCCCAAAAAAACAAACATTTAAAAATACCATCCAACTACTTAGTTGAGAAAAGCATAATTATCCTTCAGCAATCACTTCAGGAAGCCTACAGGAAACCAAACTTTCCCAATGGGACTTAGGTGGAACATGGCTTAGGTTTGTTTTGCACTTTATAGAAGTTTTAATCTGCAGTGTTTCCATCTATGAGCTCTTGCTTTGTACTCTGATGTAAGTGGAATGTAACTGAAGAGTTACATATTGGCTTCTATATCCTGGTTTTTCACTGTTACTAAAACCGTTCCAGCAGATTATTATTTGTACTTCCAAATAAAGCATCTAACATCACATCAGCTATGCTACTGACAGTCTATGTTGTGCAACAGAGGTCAGAGAAACAGTATCTTGTAGGTTATACAAAACAAAATCTTGGATTTTAATTTTATGTTGACTGATGAAAATCAACTCTGTTGAATGAAGCAGAGAAGAGTATGCATGAATACATCCTGATACCTAACAATGACACATAGTTCTCACTTGCTATTTCCAGATAGCAATTCCAAATAACATAGCTATGTAGCCCCACCAAAAATAACTGGCTTGTGAATCAGATTTGTACCTCACCCTTTAACTTTACATAGGTGTAACTGCCTGAAAAGCAACTACTTTTCTTATATCAGCTATGACTAGCTTTCTCTCACAGCTAATAGTTAACTTGCCAGATCTTAACTAACAAATACAAGATCTTGCCAAATATAAGCTAGTGAGAACTTAAACCATTCCATATGAAATAAACAGAATGTTCTACCCAATAGATGGGTGCACTAGGAGGAAGTGTCAGCAACAGTGGGAATGTTCTCAGATACAACTGGAAAAGAATACTCTGCATTTTCCGGACTGGTTTCTTTCCTATGTGCCTTGGAAAGTTCTGGGCAATATGCCCTTTACTATCTATTGCATTTGAACCAGCTTCCCATAAAATTACCTTGAGCTAAAGGTGCAAAGATTGTAGATGTTCTGCTATTCTGAATATGTAAACACATGTGGGTTACAGAGCTGAGGGGTGTATGTGTAGAAAAGTGTGTGCCATTTTCTTGACCAGGCTAAGTTGTTTATCCTCCTTGTTCCAAAACATACACATTATTTTTCCACTACTTGCATCCAACTTTCCCCCCCTGTGGTGCTATAAATATACTCTCTCTGGTACTGCCTGGAACAACAAAGCACATTTTATTCATATACAGCACATGGTGTTGAATATTCACAACAAGTTCCTAAACAGATTAAACTGTATGTTAATAATCTGATAATTCCAAACAGTAAATCTGAAAAACTAAAAGTCAAAGTTGCATCTTTTCTTCATTCTGGAAGAATTCCCCATTCTCTAGAAAATAATGCTACCATTCCAAAAACAAGTTGTCTGGGGGCTTTAGCTAAATTGTTTTTGAATATGATGCTATTTTTCAATAAATAAATAAAATCACAAGATGATTTATGGATCACGTGCATATCTATGGACCAACTAAAATAATAATGCATATCATCAAAGGAAAAAATTTCTTTAAATCTTGCATCAAATGTGGTAAGGCATTTGCCAGAAAGCCTTCTACAATATTCTGGGGAATGTTATGGACAACACTTCTAGGTGGTACTTCAGATGACATTCAAAGCAAGTGTGACTGGAATTTTCCACAGATAACAGAAGGTCTCTCCTAAGTATAGAAGCACTTGTTTTATTAAGAGTTCATATTATCTTCCCATTATATTTGAATTCACTAAAGATCATCACACTCTTTTACCATTAAAAACTTCTTAACAGTACCTAGAAAGTACTATAAAATATAGACTTATACTGCTTTTGATGCTTTTTAATGCATCACAGAGCAAAATCATACCATTAAAAACTTCTTAACAGTACGTAGAAAGTACTATAAAATATAGACTTATATAACGATCGATTTGGAATAACAATAACATAAAACATTAAGTAGCCATGCAACACCAAATATTTTGGTTGACTGGCGGACAACTAAAGAAACCTGCGACTTGCAGGCCTCACACATATATGATAGCATAGGGGTAGACATGTTATTTTTTCAGAGCAAATTAAAACAGAAGTCCAGTGGCACTTTAAAGACAAAACAACATTTATTTCAATGTGAGCTCTTATAAGTCACAGCTCACTTCTTCAGATATGTGAAGGGAAAACTACAGTGGGATTTTTTGAGAAAGGGAAGATTATGGGGGAAGGGCAGTAGCCATGGAGAGGCTTGGTGTCAACTCTGCCATGACACTTCCAAGTATAAATTCTGAATGTAAGGGAGAAAGGCTAGAGAGAAATAAAAAGGTTAGGTGTGAATCCCACACAGACAAATATGCCATTCTGAATATAAACCTTTCCAGTTGAGGTATTTTTCTGTGTGCCGCCATCTTCAAAGGGGAGAGTGGTTAGTGGAGATCAACCATTGGTTACTCACCGTGAAGGGTCCTTCTCCTCCGAGGCGTGGAGGACATCTTGTGGGGTGATTCCCATCCATCACTTAGGGAGGCAGGAACTAATTTCAACTGCCTGTTTCCTGTGGTGGGAGTCACCCTAGGCTCAGTTCTGGTGCTCCGAAAGCAGTAACAAGAAAGCTAACTTTTATAAACAGAAGCAGAAAAAACTGGAACAATCTACTAACTTGCTATTGAACAACTACCACAGCAACTCAAACAGGAAGGAAAGTTATAAGTCACTCTCTTACTCTCTGTCTGTTATTACACTGATAGAAGAAGAAAAAGTGGGAAAGGAACAGAATAACAGCGTAGATGACGACCCGGGAGGGCCAAGATGTCCTCCACGCCTCAGAGGAGGACCCTTCACGGTGAGTAACCAATGGTCGTTCTCCCTCTGAGGTGGAGGACATCTTGTGGGAGCTACCAGAGCAGTGTCCCTAATTTTTGGGAGGGTGCTCGTCATCACAGGAGAGGACAGTTTGTAGCACCCTCCTGCCAAAGGCTGTGTCTGCCGAATCATATAGGTTCAATTTGTAATGCCTAATAAAAGTGGAGAGGACCACGTAGCGGCTTTGCATACTTCCTCTACTGAGGCTCTGTTAGTGAACGCTGCATTTGTGGCAGCGCTTCTCAGTGAATGTGCTGTGATTCCAGCTGGAGGGACTTGATTTAGGCATCTGTATGCTTCCACTATACATGGGCGGAGAACTTTGCTGATTGCCGCCTTTGACATTTTCTTTCCCGTATGAGGGGGGGAAATGTTCACGAACATAGCATCAGTTTTTCTAATTGAGTCTGTCCTTAGTATGTAACACTTCAGAGCCCTCCTGACGTCTAAGGCATGCCAAAGTTTTTCCTTGTAATGAGAGGGATTTGGAACAAACTAAGGTAGGCATAACTCCTGTGTTCTGTGAAATTGGGTGTTGATCTTTGGACAGAATGTAGGATCTGTCCTAAGGACGACTTTATCCTTGTGAAACATGCCAAGATCTGAGTGTATGGATAAAGCACTTAATTCTGAAATGCTTCTGGCTGATGTTATAGCAACCAAGAAGAGAACCTTCATCCTCAAGAACTGGAGTGAAATTTCTTTTAGAGGTTCGAATGGAGGTTTTGTGAGGGCCGAAAGAACTATATTTAGTTTCCAAGTCGGGAATCTATGTTGATCCGGCGGAAGTTTGAATGAAACTGCTTTTAGGAAACAAGTCACGTGCGGGTGCTGAGAAATCGGGATTTCTTTAACGCGCGG